CTGCGCATACTTACCCGTTCTTGAGCAATCACGATCCAAAAAGTGTCCACACTTATATGGTAGGCCACTGTATAATCGACGAGAGCTTAATTTTACATTAAATGAATAAATAAATAAATAATTGATTGATTAAATAATTACCTGAGATACATTTACACTCGTGACTTGGAATGAATATATTGCAAATCCAATTGTTATTGTCAATAATCCTTCAAGCGAAGTTTTTGCCAAATATGTTACCTGTAAATTTAAATATGAGTCAAAAATAATGTCGCAGCTGATGCTAAAATTGGTTGATGTTTGAATTTGGGTCTTAATTTGAAATGTAAAGCCTATTAAAATCCATATCTAATTTTTATTATATAATCGATGGTTTTAAATCCTAACCCAGCCTAAAAAAAAAACAAACCTAAAATAAAAAAACATCGAAAGAACTTTTTTAGATTCATATTAAAATAAGTCCAAATTAAAGCATCAATCAATTTTATCATCAGCAGTAACAATAAATAAAACAAATATTTAGTAAATTTATTTGCGCTTACTACTAATAGAGACATTGATATTCCAAGGGTTCCGGTTATATTAAAAAACTTTCGTACAGTTAAAACATAAATTTTTAATTTATTAATCGCATAATCACAGATATAACCGGCTATAGATCCCATTATGGTGTATGTAAAGTAAGGTAAAGCTAAAAAATTTAAATTTATAAAGTAAATATAGAAGAATATTATTAATAATGTTATGAGTATTAACAACAATAATTTCTTACCAGTATAATATCCAATTAAATTGATATTTACATGAAAATGTTCATAATAGTATATTGGTAACCAATTAAGCAGAATAAAAAAGCCCCAAGAATTACAAAATTGACCAAGAATAATTGCCCATACTTCACGACGAGAAAATATTAATTTCCAAGGAATTTTCTGTATATTATTTGGCCTTGATAAAGTTTGATCTTTTGGTAATAACACATCGTTTTCACTTTGAAGAATACCAAGATCATCGTCAGTAATCGTAATATCCCCGGATCCTGATTGATAATGATCCAAATTATCATCTGAATAAGCACTTGATTTGCTTTTCAAAATCCAATCTAATTCTTCTTTACTGATTCCTGAATAATCTCTAGGATCACTTTTCCCATAAAAATGCCATATAACGGACCAAATACAGCCAACAATTCCAAATACCCAAAAAATACTTTCCCACCCAAACCGACTCGAACCCAATATATTTGAAATTGGCATGGCGATTACCATACCGATAAAATTGGAAACACATGCTACTGAAACAGCTCTACTTCGTTCCTCAGGTGGAAACCATTTTGAGATTAAAGATTGAATACATGGAAAAGAAGCCCCTTCTCCAATTCCTAAACAAATCCTACATAGTATAAGACAGTATATGTTTATTCTGGCAGCAATCGGAGTAAGTAAAGTGAAGAATGTCCAAGTTGCGGCAGCTAGAAATAAATAACTCAGAAATAAACAAACACGAATATCATTTTTTTTTAAAATAGTATATCTCTTAAAATATTACTCGCCTATGCTTAATACTCCTCTACCACCGAATTTATCAGTAAGCATACCTCCTAAAATTTGCGTCGTAATATATCCAAAGTAAAATGATGACGATACTAAACCCTGTGTAGTATGATTCCATTTGAATTCCTTAGCCATATAAACTATGGCAATTGCCATATTTGAACGATCTTTCATGAAAAAAAAATTAACAAAATTTGACAACTTTTTTAATGATAAGGATTTAACATTGAAATCTACCAGCATAACAGATGATAATTGCCAAAATACAGAGAGTGAAAATTATAATTCGCTTTGGTATGTAATCAGACCGCCAGTTACTAAAATTTTCAAATATATTAGAAACTAAAAAACGTACTATACTTTGGAAATACTCCTTTTGACATCAATTTAGTACAAAAGAACATTTAATTGAGTACAAAATAACATTAAATATAAGTTTAATTAAATCGTGATTTCTTAAAATCTAGGAACAATTTAAATAATTTTAATACTAGCTTATTTATCCTAATAAGATGAATAAAATGGTATTAAGTTTTAAATTGGTTGCTAGATTTTATCAAGAGTTAATAAAAACCTATATTATTGAATGTCTTTTGTACTAAATTATGTTCTTTTGTACTAACTTGATAATAACTTACTTGGGTATTAATGCCATAATTAGTCTAGAAAAAGATGTTATTAATTCGCACAATAGTTTATATAATAAAAAAAGTTTTAATGTAATAATGTATTTTTCGTATTTTGATACTTTTTTTAAAGCAAAGGTTCTTTTTATGAATAAGCATACGTTCAAATCAATAGGTTGACCGGTACGTATCATCAGTATATAAAAAATACTGTGCTCATACATTCCCGATTTGGTATAGTTACAACTATATACGTACTGTAACACGAACCAGTATTGCGGCATCCGCACCTGACTGAAATTAGCCCCTGAAATTAGATCATCTTGCACGCACTGGCGGTTTTAGGCAGGTGTCAACTTCAGGTACGTACTGTACGTACGTACGTACCTGAAGCTCCGTGGGTCAACATATTATTTAATCAATTCCCTTCAAATATTTAAGGATCTATTATAACACCTGGATAGCAGTCAGCCGACATGTCTATGTTAGATTTGCATACTTATTGATCAAATTAATAGACGTACCTAAATTTTATATATAAATTTTATAATTTTATTTATTTTCTAATTTTCTTTGAACTTTAATATAAAAGTTTAGTTAAAACTTCAGATACTTATTCTTGAGTATCTAAAGATTCTTTGTACAAAATTTGAGTAATAGTTAATAATAAAGTTGAGAATAATCTTGACCCTAAAGTTAACAATGTTTCTTAGTTAAAAGACTGACACACCATAAATAATTATGATAATATATGTTACTTAAATTAAAAGACCAACTCACTATCAAAAAAATTATGACAAAATATTTACAATATTTTATATTGGGTCAGTTTTTTGACTTAAGGAACATAGTAAAAGAACGTTCAACTTTAGGATCACGATTATTTTCAACTTTATTATTAATTATTACTCAAACTTTATGTTGTGTACAAATCCTACTTTACCAATTCTGGGTCTGATCTCACTAAGAGATTGTTCGCTTTGCTTGTTTTGCTTGACCAGTATATCATACCAGATCTTTCACCTTGTTAGATATGTACACAAACATTTTGGTCACTTGTTCACTTAGAATGGTTTCTTGTTTCTTTTTAACTAAAACTCCTTTTTCGCTTTATTAGATCGAACCATTTTATAATACAAGATTATCATTGGATAAATAATTATCTGGTTACACACATTAGACTATTACTAAATTAATTTTAGGGGAATTTACAGATAAGGGCCCAAAAAACGAAAATAATTACAAACGAGGGCCCAAAATGAAAATAATTACAGATAGAGGCCCGATATTTGAAAATTATTACAAATAA